CACACACACACACACACACACACACACACACACACACACACACACACGCATACACAATCTGGTGCCAACTGAAACAGCAAAACTACCAAGAAAAGCACAGAACTGCAAACCAAAATGCTTAGTGCCCCATAACAGCCATACAAGAAAGACAATAAGAAGACCAAAAGCTACCTGGCTCTGGGTCTTTGGACAATGTATGTCAAGCAACTAATATATTTTGCACTGGGCACGCCTTTACTCCCAGCACTCGGGAAGCAGGGGAAGGTGGCTCTCTGTGAGTTCGAGGCCAGCGTGGTCTACAAAAATAGTCCAAGACAGCCAGAGTTGTTACATGGAGAAACTCTGTCTTGAAAAACCAAAAAAAAGAAAGAAAGAAGAAGGAAGGAAGGAAGGAAGGAAGGAAGGAAGGAAGAAAGAAAGAAAGAAAGAAAGAAAGAAAGAAAGAAAGAAAGAAAGAAAGAAGGAAAGAAAAGGTTGCTACCCTTGTACATCTGTGAGTGGCTGCAAGTGCACAGGAATGCTGATAAACATATTCTGTGAGCTAGCAATCACAGACACAGAACACAAGAATAAATACCAACTGAAGGAGACATTACTCTTCATGATGATTTTATTACTCCACTCCATAGATAAGGAAAGAGAGAGACAAAGAGGGTGAGTAACCTGCCAAGGCCACCCTGCTGCTATGTGGCAGGATTGAAATGCAAACTTTGGGTGCTTTAAGTCCAGAGTCATCACTAAAACAGACATGCCACTCCTGGAGCTTGTGAGACAGTATGGCAACTGGCAAACTCAGACAAGGCTGGCAACCCATAGCCCCTTCTCAAGAGGAACAGGGAAGCACAGACAATGCATATTTGATCTTTTCCCAGAAAGCACATTCCAGCAATTCTCATGCTTATTTAACTCTGGGCATAAAAAAGTTAGTACAGAGATCAACAAATCCTCAACACAAGCCAGAGCCTGATGCCAGGGAGTGGAGGTCAGGACATCATGCCCAAACAGTCACAGCAAAGACCTCAGGAACACAGTTGTGGTCTCCTCATGAGGTGTGTGTGTGGGGGGGGGGGTGGCACTCAGTGAAAAGTTCTCTCACCAAGCATGAGGGCCTGAACTACAAAACCCAGATCTAGAAAATTCCAGGTGGCACACACTTGTCATCCCAGAGCCCTAGCCTGACTGGCAAGGCAAGCCTAGATCAAGGTGGACAGCTGCTGGGCTGGTGGACACCTAAGGTCTACCTCTGGCCTCCATATGTGCACACAGACAAAACAGTAAATGGGAGAGAGGTGGAGGAGGGGTATCTTTAGATAAAGATGGCATGAAAATCAATTACATTGTGCAGTAACTTTAAACATTCATCAAGGCAGAATACTATATATGTGGTAAGTATAAAACAGGAAAGAAAAAAAACTGGGTTTGTGGGCCTTGAGTGGAAGGTGATAAATATAAAATGACGTCAGTCGTGGAGGAAGGTGGTGGCATTATGGGCGCCTTCTTTGTTTACTTTTCAGCCGCTTTTTCAGCAGCTGACACATCCATCTTCTCAACAAAGATGGCAGGAACACTGATTATAGACTGCTTATCTCTCGCCAGCCTTGGAAGGCTGCAGTGTGCCTGATTGTTGGGCAACAACACAGAACAGAAGGAAAACACAAGTCGCTAAGTGATGCTCTACACACGGGGATCAGCACACTCCCGGGAGCACAGAATGAAAGCACACTATATGCAGGGGTCTCGGGGGAGTCAGCAGGCTGAGGGCCGGCCAGGAACCTGACCTGCCAGGGGAAGAGCATGCCTCCCAGAGGCTGCCCTGGGTCCCCAAATCACTGTTAAAACACTGTCCCATTGCCCAGGATCTGGGGCTGGTACTGCATGTTGGCCCATACATGAGCAGGATGATTTATGAGAATGTGGACTCTGAAACTGATAAATTAGGAGATAATTACTCAGACTGTGATGTCACTGCAGCTGAGTGCAGTGACATTCAGGTGGCACCACAGAAAGATGCTTTCTTACAATGGATGGCTATTTTGCATCAAGCTGTCCAGGGTGTAGGGCACCTGCTTGTCCACAGCTGAGCTGCCCACTGCTTCCCGGCCATCCACATGCTACTTTGGGGGAGAGAGCATTTTTTCCCCTAATGTTTTCAGTAGAGCCCTTCCTGAGGAGCGCTCCTTTGAACGTGGCTTAAGAGTGACTTCCATCCAAGCCACATGTGAGGGGGCAAGGTGTTGTTCCTGATGGAACACCCAGAAGCTGTATCGGAAGGTGAGGAGAGCCGATGGTTAGAGAAAGGGGACAGGTGAGGTGTCTATAGCCCAACCCGCTCCCTGGATGAGCTCCCTGGCGGTGGTAGGGTGAGTATGAAGCCACCATGATTGTACCAGAGGCTGAGAGTGTCATGCGCTGTAGGCAGGGCCTGAGGTGAGGGGACATATACAGGGAGGAGGCTCAAAGATGTAGCAGCTTTGCTTTGTCCCAGCACCCTATTAGTGATTCTGGCCACTCACCTCACTGGAGATGTAATCACACCTGAGCAGATCTGAGCAAGATCAAGCAGCGTGATCAAAGGGCTGAGTGGCGGGCCTGACTGGGAAGATTAGGCTCATGTCTAAAAAGCAGAGGGGGCTGCAGTGTGGCGAGTGGAGGCACAACATAGATTTTCAACAGATCCAAGAGTCTGACAATTGTGTTATTTGGTGCTCGAGAAAGGTGTTTGAAGGAAACTTCCAGGACAACATGGCTGCAAGGGAGATGGACCTGCTGCCCCAGAAGGAAATGCAAGCAGAAAGGGGCAGGAGGGTCAGTTTCTGGAATCACCCCTGGGTCAGGGAGGGCCACAACTAAGAATGACTCTTACATGGAAAAACAATGGGGCAATGCTGGCTGGAACCAGGTGTGCCTGAAGTCAAAGTGCCATGGTGGTGATGGAACCTAGGGCCTTGTGCATGAACTGCCACTCAGCAATACCCCCAGTTCCCATGAATGAGTTCTTCACTCCTTAAGCCCAAAGCTTCCTAGTTAATAAGCCCATTTAACCCTGGGTTTTTGAGTTTTACAACCAAATTAGTTGGCTGCTAGCTAGTAACTGTGGGGCTGGTGAGCCGGCTCAACCAGTAAAGGCACTGGCTGCCACACTGAACACAAGTTCAATCCCTCAAATCCACAAGCGAAAGGAGAGAACTGACTCCCTCAAGTTCTGATTTCCACATTTACCCTATGATGTACGCCTCCCACAAATAAGTTTTAGCTAAAAATACCAAAACAAAATGAAAAAAACAGCCTGTGTCTTTTTTACACAATAGCGCCTTTCTAGGTGATGCGAGGCACACGGAAAGCACTCACAGAAATACTGAATGAATGCAAGACTCATGTCAACCAGCATCCTAGGGGCAGATAGCTCCTGGACAGAGCTCTGCTGACAATGTCTCCTTCTCAGGGGCTCAGAACCCAGCTAAGCAGCCTGGGTTCACTTTCCTCCAGAGAGTCCATGCAGTCCTCAGCCTCTGCCACCATGCCAGGAACAGAGGCCTCCGAGTAACCCACAGCTTTGTTGTCCTTAGCATATTTGGGGCCACTGGCATGTCTCTCTCATGTTGATCACTATGAAAATGCCAAAAAATATGTAAATAAGGTATAATCCAGTTCTGCCACTTCCTGCTCGCCTATTTCCTTGTCTGACAAATGGGTGCTTTCACTCCACCTGCCCATCTGGGTGACCTGAAGCTAAGCTGGTGGGCTATGGCACCTAGCGTGTGGCTGGCATTTTGTAAAAGGTGCCTTGAGGCCGAACTGACCACTGCTCACGGCACCCCCTTCTTCATAGGTCCCTGGTGGGGATTTCTTATCGGCCTTGTCTCATTTTCTGCATCCAATAATATCCACCCCACCCCATTTTACAGCAACTCAATTGCGATATATTTTTTAATTGTCACCATGCTGCAATCTTGTCTGTGAAATTGCCATCAATGCTGTCAGCCAGCACCTCTGTGATAGCACTTATCGATCCCCGATTAATGAGAAACAATCTGCTCGTGAGGAGCTATGACACTCTCTCCCCAGATGAGCGCCTGGGATGATTAAACCATCACCCAGGTGTTCAGTGGCAGTGTCCTCACTGCCAGAGAGACTGAATAAAAACATCCAACCCTGTGGTATAAATGCCAGGATAAACACCCATGGGGGTCTAATCAACATGAACTATCTGCTGTTCTCACTTGAGCTGCCTAGCCCTGGGAGGCTGGGAAAGTTCTGCTAAATGGTAGGGCACAGGGGGTACCATGTAGTACTTCTGGCACTGCCAACTCACTGAGTGTATCTGGAAATGAGAGCAGGCCTTCTTGTCATAGATACAGGGAGATATATTATTATTATTAAAGACAAGGTCTCATGTAGCTTAAGCTGGCCTTGAACTCACCATGTAGCCAAGGATGACTTTGAGTTTCGGATCATTCTGTCTCTACTGCCCACGTGCTAAGATTACAGGCATGTGCCACTACACCCACCCAGTTTTATACAGTGCTAAAGCCTGGACCCAAGGTTTCTTACATGCTAGGCAGGGATTCTAAGCCATACCTTCAGCCCAGAAAAAAAATCTTAATGAAACTGTATAATAGGTAGAGATGCTACATAATAATGCATGAGGTTATCTCACACATCCCCAACACCATCACAGTACTCCCCAAAACCAACAGGTGTCCAGAAGGCCAGACAAGGCTTGAATGGCATTTGAGGTGACATCTTTCAGACCTCTAACCTGCAAGACAGGTCTTTTCCTATAACACAAAGACTCCAATTCCTGCCCTTGCTGGGTCTTCCCATTCCAGGCAGATCTGTTTAGCGGTTCTGCAGAATTCTGTTTGGCTTGTGGTTTGACTTTCATTACCAATACTATAAAATACAAATCTAGATCCCAGTTTCTCTGCCAGCATGGAGGCTCTCTACCCCCTCCATCTGTGTTTCTATAAACACCCATGGCAGTACTGAGCAGTGTGGACAGGAAAGTTCCAGGTACCCCCACCCCAGTTCCTTAACCCTGGGCAACTCCTAAGCTCTGAGTTGGCATTTCCAGCTCATAGGAAGGCTCAGGTCTGAATACAAACCACAACGAACTGGAAATAAACTTGCTTCACCTTGCAAAGGAACAGAGTCCTTCAGATCACACCAGATTGCTGTCACCTTGACAACTACACATGGTAGTGCTTTGAGCTTCTGCAAGAACCAGCACCAGAACTGAATATGACACCCTGAGCAACTTAAGTCACAAGGTAAACTGACTTTACCTTTCCACCAACCTAGCTCTCTGGGACAGGTTGATGTCCAAAAGATGCACACCACCATATAAAGGTGACTGGCGAGTGCCTGTTGTGCCCAGACCCCACCTCTCCATCATGAGGCAAGAGAGAGCACCTGTACAACCAAGACTTTGCTATGAGTCAACCAGAAGATGCAATTAAAGCACTGGATGGGGTGGAGAGTTGAGGGCAAGTGTGGGCCTACAAGCGTGGGTAATAACCTCAGCCTTTGCATGGAGGGGGACTCTATGCTCCATTCCTGTGTCCCGTGGGCTTTTAATAAATCAAAATCATTTTTTTATTTGGCTGATAACAACGGTTGCCATCAGGCAGTTTGCTCTTACCGGTTTCTCTGCTGAAGCAATATTAAATACTCATCATGTTTCTCATCAAAGTCTGTCACCATGTCCTTAGTGTAACCCTGAAAGGAAGAAACAGAGTGGGGTGAGAGCGAAATGCAGGGACACCTTCGCTGATGCTGGGTGCTGCACACAGCTTGCAGGAGCTGGCTGAGCTGGGAGGCAGCCCTTGACGAAAGCCCAGCTCCCCTTGGTACATCACTCTGGCGACCCAGAGCTCTAGGGATTGTGTGGGAGCCCAGTGGGTCTCAGGCACACACAGCTTTACCAATCTATGAAAGAAGGTTGGCTTCCCAGCCTCCTTACTGTCCCCCCCCCCCCCCCCGCCATGCCCTATGAAGTCTAGGACTTTGATAAGGTTTGGCGTCTTCCAGAACAGCCAGAGCTACATAGTGAGCTGCTGTCTCAAAAAACAAACAAAAAAACAAACAAAAAACAAGCAAAACAAAACAAGACAGAAACAAACAAACCTTGGCATCCAAGATGTTTCCTCAACATACACTACTCAGCCATCTCAGTCATCTCTCACCAGTTCACCCCAAGCTGGCTGCTGAAAAGGGACCTCAAGTTTTCACTGCAAGAGGACTCTCTAATGATCAGAAACAACAATGTCATTACAGAATGTGGGCTGTAGCTCTTCTTCTGGCAACAGGGCCCTGTGTTGCCTTCAGGGAGCCTCTCAGCTATATCTTTCAATTCAGTGTTTCCCTCAAGCTGCCTGCGGCAGTCCCTGGGGACCCTCCTGGGTCACAGAGCCTTGGCTTGGAAGCACAATCACCATGAGCCTTGCCTAGCCACAAGGAGCCGCAGTTTGGGAGGAGCAACACAGGTAGCCTCTGAGACCATGCTGAAACTCTGGGGAAGGAGCTGCTCTGCCCTCTGGGGGCCCAGGTCTGGCAAAGCCTGAGAGGAATAGTAGCAAAGATAGAAGAACAAAGTGATGGGGAGAAAAAGAACCCCAGCACTCTTTCTCTTGAGCCCCTGGACTCACTCATGTTCAAAGTAGTATCTGGACAACTCAGTTTTCAGTTCATGCCTTGAAGCATCGTACAACATTCTGTCTTCTGCGTCCAAATGGCTTTTAAGCACTGTGCCATGCAGTCTGACCATCAGAACTCAGCCTGCTATAACCAAGTAGTTTGGTTTTGTTTTTTTGAGACAATGCCTCAAATACAGCCCCAGCTAACTTTGAACTTGTGATTCTCTTGCCTTGGCCTCCTACACAGTGGGATTGCAGTTTCTGCCATCTTGTTTGTCTTACATTTTATTACAGTATTGAGAGATCATTGATATATACTATACATTAAAATAGCAACCCATCTATATATATTCATATATATATATATACACATACATATATGTGTGCATATATATCTTCAACTCAGGGCAGAAGAGGGAGGCTGGCTAAAGAAAGCCTAAGCTGATGGATGTTTGTGTGTGAATGTGTGTGTGTGTGTGTGTGTGTGTGTGTGTGTGTGTGTGAGAGAGAGAGAGACAGAGAGACAGAGAGAAAGAGAGAAAGAGAGAGAGAGTTTATATACGTATGCAGGTTTGGGGTATTTGAGACTCACTTTATAGTCCAGAACAGCCTGGACCTCACTACATAGTCTGGTCTGGCCTTGAACTTGCAATAATCCTCCTGCCTCAGACTATGGAGTGGTAGGATTAGAGGCATGCACCATCATGCTTGGCTTTTCTGTGCATTTTTCAATTTAAGGTATTTCCAGTTTATAGCACACTTGTTGGAATATAATACTGGGTGAGCAGAGGAACACCTGTGCATTCACTCCTATCTCCATGCTTCCTGGAGGCCCAGCCTCTTCCTTGGCATCCATAGGCCTAGGATCCCTTCCTGTACAGCTCTCTGGGCCTTCTTTAACCAACCTTCATCCTCTATCTTCAGGTATGGATGTTAAACATCTGTTTGCTTCCTTCTCCATCTTCACTTCTCCCTCCAGTTACCAGGCAATGGGGCCCTTGGGATGGGAAACACTGACAGCCACTCTTAGACTAGTACTGATGGCCTAATCCCCCTGTCTCCACCCATGTCCTACAAAGCCCAGGCTGTTGCCATCTTCTTTTCTCTTCTTCTGTCACACACATTTTCCCTTTTATGCAGCAAACCTTACTTCTCCCTGCCTTCTGCTGGTCTGTACACTTCACCTTGGGAGTATGAGATTTTGTCTCAGGAGGAAGAAGAGGACCCATGGGCATCCTTAACCAGCTCACAGATGATGCCTTTGGACCATATTTAAACAAGCAAGACCCTACACTAGGTAAGCACTCTACTACCAAGCCGTATCTCCAGCCCCTCAAACCTCTGAGTGTCACTGGGCTTCATGCTGCCCAGCCAGGCAGCAATAATAATGAAGGGGGGCATTATGAAATTAGAAGAAGTGTTAAACACTGGTAGAACTCTCTGGCTTCCGGGGCTGCCTCAAGAGGTTCCCTGTACCCCTGGGACTGAGCCTGGCTCCTCTTTGCATACAGGAAAGAACAGGAGAGACCTCAGCATTGGGAGAGATCCTTGTAGCATCCCGATTCTGGGGAGGAGTTACTATACCCAGCCTTCTTTTTTGATGTCTGTGGCAGTTCTTGAGATGGTTATTATCACCCTATTTAAGAGACAAGGAAATTCATGCCGTGCATATTCCCAAACACCACTGACTCCACACCAATTTACATTACCATTCTGAAATATTAAAGTGACCGTTGATACACTGCGGTATTGAAAGAAACATTCGGTAGCATTTTTAGAAGAAATACAGACTTCAAAGAGATATAAGTGTGCGTGTGGGCTTTTACCTCAGACCCTCTCCGGAATGTATTTGTTCTTTCTACCAAGATGCAGATGCCACCCAAGAGACACAGAACAAGGTCAGGCAGCTAGCTCACTTCTTCCAGCCCCTGCTTCTCAAATGCTGGTCACCTGGGGATTGTGGTGACAGGACAGCTCTCATTTGGGAAGGCTGGGAGGCCCCATATGTTTCTAACTAGCCTCAGAGTCCATGCCTGGCTCCAAATCACAATGCTGCCTCCAGACACGAGGTTGCTATGGTTCTGATGTGGTCTGTCCTTTCCAAAACTATGACTGGAGTTTGCTTCCTACGGCAATAGTGTTGTGGTGGGGGAGGTGGGGTGCTTATAAAGTGTAGAGTCCACAAGAGCGCCATCTTTGAAGGGTTATTATCATTCAAACAATGGGTGTAATTGCAGGAGAGAAGGAGTTCTTGTGAGAAAGGATCACTATTCTCAGCCTGAACTGTTACAGAACCAGGCGGCCCCTTCTACTTGTTTCTTCCACATGCTCGCTTGCTCCTCCTTCCACCTTCCATAATGTTATGGTGCTCCTTGCCTGAAGTTGCTGCCATGCCCTGGACTTCCCAGCCTCCAGAACCCAGAGCTGCAAAAGCTTCTTTTCTTTCTAAGTTACCCAGGCACAGGTACTCTGTTGTAGAAAGAGAAGGCAGACAACGTAGATGCTTACTTGACACTGCTGGAATTCTACTTTCTTATCCCTAAAGTGAAGGGGTGAATGCCTAAGCCAGCAACAATGGATGAAAAGCCTAGAAAGGATCAAGTTCATGCTCTGTTTCCCACCAATACTTGCTGAGTGCTTGCTGTGGGGCTGGTACCCTGACATACACAGTAGGGGTTTAAACTTATTATTGTGTCTGTGTGCATGATGTATGTTTAGGGCACACACATGCCACAACACATGCATGAAGGCCAGAGGACAACTATGTAGAGTTGATTCTCTCCATCCACCTTTATGTGGGCTTTGGGGGTTGAGCTCACATCTCTAGGTTTGTGAGGCAAGAGTTCTATCCAGTGAGCTCTTTTGCCAGCCCTGTAACCAAGGTTTAATGGAAGCCCAGCCTGTGGATATACTGATGACTTGCCACACAGGAGCTACACTGCACAACCTCTATTCAGAGCATGTACCATGTGACCCATGTGAATGGCACCCTTCGCAATTGATCTACAGGGGCACTGCACTTAACCACTTAATAGCCACACACCATCCAGATGCCTCCAGGGGCTTCTGGGAACACCCATACAAGTGATGTACAAAGGACTCTTCTGGGAAGGGTCTACAACCTGCATTGGCTCTCACAGGCACCTGGAGCCCAAAAGGGAGACATTATAAAATGCAACAGCACAGGGGACCAGAAATGCCTTGGAGGGTGTGGCCAGGTCTCAGTTCTTGAAGAATTCCCAAAGCTCCACTCCTTCTCTCACATAATCTCTAATCCATCAGCTACAGGCTCAAACAATGGCATACAGTAGGCGCCCTCTATCCATGGGGATAAGTTCCCACACAGTACTGGATGTCTGAAGCCAGGCCTAATGGACAGAGCTTTGACTATCCTGTCTTCCAGCTTTATTGGCAGTGTTGCCACTCTACCACTTTGGGTAGCACATAGCACCTTTCTCTTCTTCCTTCCTTCTCTCCCCACATCTCTTTCTCTCTTCTTCCCTTCTTTCATCTCTCCTTCCCTTCCTTTTTGTGAGGTGGGATTTTGCTCTATAGTCCACACTGGCCTTGAACTTGCTCTGTGACCTAGACTGGCCATGAACTTGCAATCCTCTTACTTCTGCTCTGACAGCTGGCACTCTAGGCATGTGTCACCATGCCCAGATAGACTCCTTTCTTTATTCAAGCCAGTCTGGACTAGGCAAATATAACTTAGACTTGAGTTCTAGACAGGATCGCAGACAAGCTAATGGTTTTCCAAAGCCTGCACCATGTTGAAGGATTCAGCTATCAATAGAGGGTTAAGCAATACTTTAGTGAAGCTTTTTGGTTCAGACTGCTTTGCTTCTGGTTTTTGGTGATGCTGGTAGCCAAGCCTAGGGCCTCACCCATGTGAGGCAAGTACACTAGTACTAAGATATACCCTGAGGCTTATGACAAATGTTCCTAATGTCCCTATGTCCACAGAATGACTATATGCATATTATAGCACAAAATTCTTCTTATAACCCACCCAGCTCCAACTTCTCTGTCCCTGGAGATTTTGTCATGTCCTAGTGTTGGGTGCTGAGTCCTCCAGGCACA